ATCTGATAGAGTAGAGCATCCTAGCATATTTTTGAGCATATGACGAGCATAGTACTTAGTATATTTGTTTGCTTATATTTTTATGTAGCTTGAAGAGTCAGCTACCAGCAAAGCCGCACTTACTTATTTTCAAAACCGATTAGGTGGGGACCCAGTCTGGGTTATACATTGAGTTTAATAGTTGATATCACGTTCAGGTATGTATATGAGTTTTATCCACTTTGGGTTAAGGCCAAGTTTGCCTTTCCTAAGTTCTGGTGGTGGCCCAGTTTTCCCTAGTTATAATTTTACCCGGTTCGCCAGTACGAACGGATCCAGACTAATATGCATGATTCGTAAAAATATAGACCTGAATTCTTTAAGTCTAAACCAGTTGTTAGACCTAGGTTAAAGAAACGGGTTTTTAAGCAGAAAAGTCCTTAGCAGCATCCCGAGATAGTTTGCAAATGATTTCGAAAAATTTATAAGCGTTTTCGAAAGAGTTAAAATTTGCGAAAATTGGCCCTAGTTAGCGGGGTGTTGCAAGCTCTATTCCCCTTCGATTGAAAAACCCTCTTAGTCATTTTTCCTTCCAGGCAAGATTCACAAGTTGAAGAGCCTCGACTTCTAACGACCCAAGGGCCCGTCTGCTACCAACCATTGAATCCTCCTAAGGTTTATATGACCAAGTCTTGGATGTCAAAGATATGTTTCATTCATTTTCGAATATTCCTTTCTCTTGTTCAGATTAGAAGATGAATTAAGAAATTATATATGTGGCAGTGGAGATGACTTTGGTTCTAAAACATACAGATTGTCTACTAATGATCCAGAACAAATGAACTTTTGTCCAAAACGAATAACAACTTTATTATCGAAAATAGCAGAAAAACCATTCATAAATAACTTAGAAACTGCAATCAAATTCTTTCTAAAACTAGGAACATAAAGACAATCTTTTAAAACTAAAGTCCTATCTAAACCAAAATCTAAATAGACGTCTCCCACTGCAACTGCTGATGCTCTACTAGCATCGCCCAAGTAGATGGTAACTTCTCCTTCCCTAAGCCGTTTGAATTCCTGGAACCCCTGTAGAGAATTGTAGACATGATCAGTGGCTCATGTATCTACGCACCAGGTTCTGGTAGATAACACCGCTAAACATGTTTCAACGACTAATGAAAAAGATGTCCCTTTATCGCCCTTCTTAAGGACAGGGCAGTCGGCCTTCCAGTGTCCCTTCTGCTGGCATTTGTGGCACTTGCCTCTCAGCTTCTTCGCAGCATGCTGAGGTCGCGCATCTTTCATGACCGCTTTGCCCTTTCCTGTGGACTTCTTCCTCTTGTTACCCTTAGGAGGCCTAGAAGAAGAACCTTCTCCCTGTTGGGCAACCATATATAGCTTGGGACTTGTGACGAAACAGGCCCTCTGCCGACTGAAGTTCAGCAACAAGTTCCGGAAGAGTCATCAACATCTTGTTCATGTTATAATTCAACCGGAATTGTTCGAAGCTCTTCGACAAAGACTGGAGCACTATATCGACCTGGGTTTCCTCATCAATAAACGCCCCTAGGACCTCCAGCTCATTCAGCTAGGCCATGATAGCAAGAACATGATCCCTTGCATGAGTGCCTTCATGCATGGTCGTGTTCATCAGAACTCTCATGGCTTCTTGTGGGGCAGCCCGTGACTGATGGCCAAACAACTCCGTGAGATTGAGAAGCATATCTGCTGCAGTGTCCATAGTCTGATGCTGATGTTGAAGTACATTTGACAAAGATGCCAAGATGTAACACCTCGCCATCTCATAAGCCTTTTTCCACCGAGCATACGCCTCTTTCTCATTATCTGGGGCATTATCAGCAGGCACATCCGGACAAGCCTCAACAGTAGCAAATTTGTACCCTTCAGCAGTTAACACTATATCCATGTTCCTTTTCCAGTCAATGTAATTGGGACCAACAAGTTTGTTTTCTTTGAGAATTACGGACAACATATTAAAAGACATTTTGAATTCCTGGGATCACGTAAACATAGTTTTTACTTAGTCAAGTGATTATAGAATTTAACATCAAATATTAATCCTTAAAAAAAAATATTCAACTAAATTCAATGGCACCTCTAAACACCGAATCCCCGCAGGCCACGAAATGTGGACGTCTACGGTTCAAACCATCGCAAGAGGAGTGATTAATCCCATTAATTAACATACCGACAAATCATTACTTAATTAATAGCCGTTTCATCTTTTGGCCAGCGCATAATAAAAACAACCTTTTCCTGTGGGAATATCGTTTTAATTTGCACTTTAAGTGTAACCCATTAATTGGTACCAAGTTCACTACCAAAATCATACGTTCATCTGTGGATGATCCGTACTCTTTTGTAATAGCTCACTATTACCATCCCGAAGGAGATTTGTCCTTGTGAACTGTGAGATAAACCGTCCTGTGGGATCGATCTAAACCACTTCACTAACAAACCTATAATAGAGGCCTTGGATGTAATTTATTTCAACCCATTACACACTTAATGTAATCTTTAATTTAAGGGATTTTCCTAGACATGCTCCTATTTTAATTTGCACATAAAGCAAATAAGGAGAAACATAATCGTGTCCTTGTTTGAATGTGTTTTCCATTTCAGGAATTGGAACAACCCTTTCGCAGTGACTCCCACTCTTCATCTTGAATATGTTTTCACCGGGAAAGTAGCCATTGGATCATCACCATGGCATCCGTCTGTGTGTTTATCACCTCGCCCCATCGAGTTTGGTCCACATCCGTCGGATCAACAATGAATAATACAAAACAACAATTACATAATTCATTCTATGACCCACGCAGGAGTCGTACACGAGTTTTCTATGAAAGCAATAAACTATGCAGTGTCCCACTGCGCAAATAATTTATTACAAGCATTCACCAACCCGAAAACTTCTCGACATGTCTGAGGCTTATAAAAACACCATACATACATACATGAATTAAATCATACATACGGGCCATAATAGTCGGATTCAAAATCACCTGCAAATTGCAATTTCTAATCTACTATGCCGCTGCGTCCGTACACACATAATTCATGTAAACAGGCAAGTCCTAATTCAAACTGTGCACGAAGTTGAATTAAATCTGGGCTCTGATACCAGTTGTTGGGTTCTTTGAGGAACGTCAACAACATGCACAGTATTGAACTTATAGAAATAAATCCTAGCGCAGCAGAATCTATAGTTAGGATTAGGACATTACCTTTTAAAATTTCTGCCGACCCAGAGACGTTTCTGATTTCCTTTGATGGAGATCATCTGATTAGCACAACTCAATCGGTTGAAGAGTTTGGCCTATGTTGACTCTAGTCGAGTGTTGAATCACAAATAGAACACCGGGACAAACTTCTCGGGCTCGGGCCGGTTGGGCAGGTTCAGATGACGTCTCGGGTCGTGTCGGGTTACAGCGGCTCAGGTTGCGGACAGATGAGCGTGCGTTTAAACTTTTCTATGCCAGGAAGGACTAGGCGTACGGCGTCTGCGCTCACGCGGGTACGTGCTCGGGACATCACCGATACGCGCGAGGAGTCCTGATCAGGCGAGGAATAGCGGGTGCGTGCGGGTCGCGCGCTGCGGCTTTCCTATGCCTGTGAGGACTTGACGAGCAGGGTCTGAGTCATGCCGATCGTATGCGGCACGTTTCCTGGGGCGCGAGGAGTCCTGGTCGATCGAGGAGTCTTGGTTGAGTGAGGAGTCCTAGTCGAGCGAGGAGTCCTGGTTGAGCGAGGAGTGGTTTTCCGGCGGTGGTCGACGGCGACGAACGGCAGTAGTCGGCTAAGGAAGGTGACCGGAAAATATGAATGTTTGAGGTTTAATATAATCAAATTCTCTCAAGGGGGAGCAAAAATTCTCTCAAGGGGGAGGGCTTTTCTATCTACTAGGATTTGATCTTTGACAGTCGAAGTAGGATTGCTATCACCGCAGGTTATCTCCCAACTGACCAAGATCTAGGGAGTCCAGGTTTTGGGGATTGCCGGTGTTGATTGGGTAAGCAGCAAGTGGACAGATAACTCCATTAATAATGGCGGATAAATCTCCGGGTATGAGCTCGTGTGATGACCTGGATGAGGGGATGATGCGGAAGCTTCAAGCAATCTCTCTCTCCACGAAGAAAGCGGGTGAAATTGAGATCAAGTCAGAAGATATCAAATCGAGTGACGAGGAATGTAAGATGAGCCTGTTTGGGAAGGCGTTTATTCTGGGCTTCAAAAGGACAATGGGGGCCATTTGGAAACTTCAAGCACCTATGGAGGTAAAAGAACTTAGCTCCAATTTCTTCCAATTCATTTTCAATTCAGTGGAAGATAAAAATAAAGTGGTAGCTGGGCACAACTGGATCTATGATAACCAGTATTTAATATTAAAGGAGTGGTTTCCTAGACTGCATAGCAAGCACTGTTGTTTTGAGGAGATCAAATTGTGGGTACAAGTGCAAAATGTGCCACTGAACTGGATGAGCACAAAAGTTGGGATCAAAGTGGGGCAGATTTTTAGAAGTGTGAAAAATGTGGTGGTCTGTAAACTTGGAGGGGAGGCTGGTAGTTTCCTTAAGTTATTGGTAGCACTGAATATTAAAGATCCCATTCCTAGGTGCACATCTGTCAAGTTAGGAGAGCAGAAGGTGTTAGTGGCCTTTAAATATAAAAGACTTGTGAACCTTTGTTATTATTGTGGGATGTTTGGGCATTTAGAGAGAGGGTGTAGCCAGAGGTTAGAAGATATTGAAATGAAGAGAGTGGTTGAAGGGAAATTTGGTGAATGGCTCAGAGCTAATGAGACTTTGGCCGGGGGTCGATATAGCCAACTTGGCAGTTCAGGGGTTAAAACAAGTCCACTAATGCATAACTCTAATCAAGACTCCTGCGAACCTGTCACTGGAAAGCAGATTAATGCTTCACCTAGTGAGACCAGAAATTGTGATCATTCTGAACAACAGCAGGAGAATCCAAATCAGTTTAAAAGCCTAAGTATTATGGGTGAGGATCAGATGAATATGGTTATTGCCAGAAGTGTAGAGGAGCCAGCAGGGCACAAAGAAGATCACCAAACTATTAGTTGTTTTATGGACACAAAAGTACCAGTTTTAGGGATTGAGAGCCCAGTACAGGCAATAGTCAAAGGGCAGGAGAGCAAAGCTACTAAATCGAGACAAGTGTCACAGTGGAAAAGAAGAGCTACTTCTGATGGGAGAGTGCTGATAATTAATGAAAGCTACAGAGAAAGTATTCTTACTAGTGATCTTATAAGAAGTAGGGAGCTTGTTATCTATGAAAGAGGGGAGGAGGATGTTGAACAGGCTCTAATTGATAAAAAGAAAAAGAGTAAATCTGAGAAGTCAAAGGTGGAGAAAAGGCCAGCCTCAATTGGCCCCGAAGTGACCAATGAAGGCCATGGTGTGGAATTATAGAGGGCTGGGTGGGCTCTCTACAGTTTCCCAAATCAAGGATTCCAGAAGAATCCACCACCCAAATGTTATTTTTTTGTCTGAACTAAAAAATCCAAACATTTTACACAAACAGTTTGTAGGAAGTTGGGATTTAAGGAGAGGTGGCACTTAGAGAAACCTGTGGGGATTGAAGGAGGTCTGTTAGTTATGTGGGACATAGAAACTGAAGTTAAGCAGATCGTGGGCAATGACTTCTGTATTCAAATGGAGGTGAGAGGTGCAGGAATGACTGAATGGTGTTGGCTGATCTTCATTTATCTTAGCACAGACAGGAGGAGTAGAGAGCAACAATGGGCTTTTTTGGAGAATAATAGAAGGCTATGGGGTGATTGTTGGCTGGTGGCTAAAGACTGGAATGACATCTCTTCCAATGATGAGAAAAGGGGAGGTATGAGAAGAAGCCTAGCCAGTTTTGTGGGGTTTAATGAATTCATTGGAAGGATGCAAATGCAAAAGGCAAGCCAGAAGGGTCTTTTTTTACTTGGGAGAATAATAGGGGAAGAGAGACTTGATAAAGTTTTTGCTTCTTTGGGTTGGTGGAACAGGTTCCCTACCATGGAAGTCTCTAATTTTTTTAGAGCAGCATCTGACCACAATGTTATTCTGATTGATACTGAGAAGGATCTGAGTAAAAAACACAAAAGATTCCAGCTTGATGCCAGTTGGTTAGAGATAGAAGGAATTGAAGAGGCAGTGAAAGAGGGGTGGTAGGTACTTGTGGAGGGCACAACTATGTACCAAGTACATCAGAAAATCAAGAACACTAGGATGGCTTTACTTGCTTGGCATAAACCGATACATAGAAATAATGCTGAAACCATTCAAAGGCTAACAACTCAGTTGGAGGACATGAGAAGAGAAGGGGGTGACAGAGATTGGGGTATGTGGGGAACATTAAAATCTGAGTTAGATTGTGCCCATCAGGCTGAGGAACAGTACTGGAGACTGAAGTTTAAAGCCCTGTGGCTCAGGGGTGGTGATAGAAACACTCGATATTTCCATGCTTTCACCACTCAGAGAAGAAGGGCTAATACCATCTCAAAATTGATTACCAACGTTGGAGTTACTTGTGATTCTCAGGCTATCATGGCAGATCATATTTCTGGTTTTTACTCCACTTTGTTCACATCTGAAGGGTCCAGAGGAGGTGGTGAACTCCTTCAACACATTCCCCATTCTATTTCTGATGCTATGAACAGTGAGCTGATCAAACCAATTCAGGAGGAAGAAATAAAAGAAGCTCTCTTTAGCATGGCCCCTGATAAAGCTCCAGGAGCTGATGGTATGTCTGCATCCTTTTTCCAAAACTTTTGGCATATCTTGAAGCTTGATATTTGTATTGCTGTGAAGAGTTTCTTTCATTCTGGCCACTTAATAAAAAATTGGAAGCACACTATCATTACTCTTATTCCCAAGTGCTTATATCCAGAAACCTTATCACATTTCAGACCCATTAGTCTATGTAGTGTGTTGTACAAACTCATTGCTAAGCTATTGGCTAAGAGGATTAAACCATATTTAGATGCTTGTATCAGTCAATCTAAGACTGCTTTTGTCCCTGGAAGATACTTACTTGATAATGTGGTCATTGCTCATGAGGTGTTCCATTTTTTGCATAGACATAGAACAAGACCTAATGTATTTATGGCTGTAAAATTGGACATGGAGAAGGCTTATGACAGGGTGGAGTGGGAGAGTATTAGACACACTATGATTAAGATGGGATTTCATGCTAAATTTGTTCAGAAAAGTCCTTAGCAGCATCCCGAGATAGTTTGCAAATGATTTCGAAAAATTTATAAGCGTTTTTGAAAGAGTTAAAATTTGCGAAAATTGGCCCTAGTTAGCGGGGTGTTGCAAGCTCTATTCCCCTTCGATTGAAAAACCCTCTTAGTCATTTTTCCTTCCAGGCAAGATTCACAAGTTGAAGAGCCTCGACTTCTAACGACCCAAGGGCCCGTCTGCTACCAACCATTGAATCCTCCTAAGGTTTATATGACCAAGTCTTGGATGTCAAAGATATGTTTCATTCATTTTCGAATATTCCTTTCTCTTGTTCAGATTAGAAGATGAATTAAGAAATTATATATGTGGCAGTGGAGATGACTTTGGTTCTAAAACATACAGATTGTCTACTAATGATCCAGAACAAATGAACTTTTGTCCAAAACGAATAACAACTTTATTATCGAAAATAGCAGAAAAACCATTCATAAATAACTTAGAAACTGCAATCAAATTCTTTCTAAAACTAGGAACATAAAGACAATCTTTTAAAACTAAAGTCCTATCTAAACCAAAATCTAAATAGACGTCTCCCACTGCAACTGCTGATGCTCTACTAGCATCGCCCAAGTAGATGGTAACTTCTCCTTCCCTAAGCCGTTTGAATTCCTGGAACCCCTGTAGAGAATTGCAGACATGATCAGTGGCTCATGTATCTACACACCAGGTTCTGGTAGATAACACCGCTAAACATGTTTCAACGACTAATGAAAAAGATGTCCCTTTATCGCCCTTCTTAAGGGCAGGGCAGTCGGCCTTCCAGTGTCCCTTCTGCTGGCATTTGTGGCACTTGCCTCTCAGCTTCTGCGCAGCATGCTGAGGTCGCGCATCTTTCATGACCGCTTTGCCCTTTCCTGTGGACTTCTTCCTCTTGTTACCCTTAGGAGGCCTAGAAGAAGAACCTTCTCCCTGTTGGGCAACCATATATAGCTTGGGACTTGTGACGAAACAGGCCCTCTGCCGACTGAAGTTCAGCAACAAGTTTCGGAAGAGTCATCAACATCTTGTTCATGTTATAATTCAACCGGAATTGTTCGAAGCTCTTCGGCAAAGACTGGAGCACTATATCGACCTGGGTTTCCTCATCAATAAACGCCCCTAGGACCTCCAGCTCATTCAGCTAGGCCATGATAGCAAGAACATGATCCCTTGCATGAGTGCCTTCATGCATGGTCGTGTTCATCAGAACTCTCATGGCTTCTTGTGGGGCAGCCCGTGACTGATGGCCAAACAACTCCGTGAGATTGAGAAGCATATCTGCTGCAGTGTCCATAGTCTGATGCTGATGTTGAAGTACATTTGACAAAGATGCCAAGATGTAACACCTCGCCATCTCATAAGCCTTTTTCCACCGAGCATACGCCTCTTTCTCATTATCTGGGGCATTATCAACAGGCACATCCGGACAAGCCTCAACAGTAGCAAATTTGTACCCTTCAGCAGTTAACACTATATCCATGTTCCTTTTCCAGTCAATGTAATTGGGACCAACAAGTTTGTTTTCTTTGAGAATTACGGACAACATATTAAAAGACATTTTGAATTCCTGGGATCACGTAAACATAGTTTTTACTTAGTCAAGTGATTATAGAATTTAACATCAAATATTAATCCTTAAAAAAAATATTCAACTAAATTCAATGGCACCTCTAAACACCGAATCCCCGCAGGCCACGAAATGTGGACGTCTACGGTTCAAACCATCGCAAGAGGAGTGATTAATCTCATTAATTAACATACCGACAAATCATTACTTAATTAATAGCCGTTTCATCTTTTGGCCAGCGCATAATAAAAACAACCTTTTCCTGTGGGAATATCGTTTTAATTTGCACTTTAAGTGTAACCCATTAATTGGTACCAAGTTCACTACCAAAATCATACGTTCATCTGTGGATGATCTGTACTCTTTTGTAATAGCTCACTATTACCATCCCGAAGGAGATTTGTCCTTGTGAACTGTGAGATAAACCGTCCTGTGGGATCGATCTAAACCACTTCACTAACAAACCTATAATAGAGGCCTTGGATGTAATTTATTTCAACCCATTACACACTTAATGTAATCTTTAATTTAAGGGATTTTCCTAGACATGCTCCTATTTTAATTTGCACATAAAGCAAATAAGGAGAAACACAATCGTGTCCTTGTTTGAATGTGTGTTCCATTTCAGGAATTGGAACAACCCTTTCGCAGTGACTCCCACTCTTCATCTTGAATATGTTTTCACCGGGAAAGTAGCCATTGGATCATCACCATGGCATCCGTCTGTGTGTTTATCACCTCGCCCCATCGAGTTTGGTCCACATCCGCCGGATCAACAATGAATAATATAAAACAACAATTACATAATTCATCCTATGACCCACGCAGGAGTCGTACACGAGTTTTCTATGAAAGCAATAAACTATGCAGTGTCCCACTGCGCAAATAATTTATTACAAGCATTCACCAACCCGAAAACTTCTCGACATGTCTGAGGCTTATAAAAACACCATACATACATACATGAATTAAATCATACATACGGGCCATAATAGCCGGATTCGAAATCACCTGCAAATTGCAATTTCTAATCTACTATGCCGCTGCGTCCGTACACACATAATTCATGTAAACAGGCAAGTCCTAATTCAAACTGTGCACGAAGTTGAATTAAATCTGGGCTCTGATACCAGTTGTTGGGTTCTTTGAGGAACGTCAACAACATGCACAGTATTGAACTTATCGAAATAAATCCTAGCGCAGCAGAATCTATAGTTAGGATTAGGACATTACCTTTTAAAATTTCTGCCGACCCAGAGACGTTTCTGATTTCCTTTGATGGAGATCATCTGATTAGCACAACTCAATCGGTTGAAGAGTTTGGCCTATGTTGACTCTAGTCGAGTGTTGAATCACAAATAGAACACCGGGACAAACTTCTCGGGCTCGGGCCGGTTGGGCAGGTTCAGATGACGTCTCGGGTCGTGTCGGGTTACAGCGGCTCAGGTTGCGGACAGATGAGCGTGCGTTTAAACTTTTCTATGCCAGGAAGGACTAGGCGTACGGCGTCTGCGCTCACGCGGGTACGTGCTCGGGACATCACCGATACGCGCGAGGAGTCCTGATCAGGCGAGGAATAGCGGGTGCGTGCGGGTCGCGCGCTGCGGCTTTCCTATGCCTGTGAGGACTTGACGAGCAGGGTCTGAGTCATGCCGATCGTATGCGGCACGTTTCCTGGGGCGCGAGGAGTCCTGGTCGATCGAGGAGTCTTGGTTGAGTGAGGAGTCCTAGTCGAGCGAGGAGTCCTGGTTGAGCGAGGAGTGGTTTTCCGGCGGTGGTCGACGGCGACGAACGGCAGTAGTCGGCTAAGGAAGGTGACCGGAAAATATGAATGTTTGAGGTTTAATATAATCAAATTCTCTCAAGGGGGAGCAAAAATTCTCTCAAGGGGGAGGGCTTTTCTATCTACTAGGATTTGATCTTTGACAGTCGAAGTAGGATTGCTATCACCGCAGGTTATCTCCCAACTGACCAAGATCTAGGGAGTCCAGGTTTTGGGGATTGCCGGTGTTGATTGGGTAAGCAGCAAGTGGACAGATAACTCCATTAATAATGGCGGATAAATCTCCGGGTATGAGCTCGTGTGATGACCTGGATGAGGGGATGATGCGGAAGCTTCAAGCAATCTCTCTCTCCACGAAGAAAGCGGGTGAAATTGAGATCAAGTCAGAAGATATCAAATCGAGTGACGAGGAATGTAAGATGAGCCTGTTTGGGAAGGCGTTTATTCTGGGCTTCAAAAGGACAATGGGGGCCATTTGGAAACTTCAAGCACCTATGGAGGTAAAAGAACTTAGCTCCAATTTCTTCCAATTCATTTTCAATTCAGTGGAAGATAAAAATAAAGTGGTAGCTGGGCACAACTGGATCTATGATAACCAGTATTTAATATTAAAGGAGTGGTTTCCTAGACTGCATAGCAAGCACTGTTGTTTTGAGGAGATCAAATTGTGGGTACAAGTGCAAAATGTGCCACTGAACTGGATGAGCACAAAAGTTGGGATCAAAGTGGGGCAGATTTTTAGAAGTGTGAAAAATGTGGTGGTCTGTAAACTTGGAGGGGAGGCTGGTAGTTTCCTTAAGTTATTGGTAGCACTGAATATTAAAGATCCCATTCCTAGGTGCACATCTGTCAAGTTAGGAGAGCAGAAGGTGTTAGTGGCCTTTAAATATAAAAGACTTGTGAACCTTTGTTATTATTGTGGGATGTTTGGGCATTTAGAGAGAGGGTGTAGCCAGAGGTTAGAAGATATTGAAATGAAGAGAGTGGTTGAAGGGAAATTTGGTGAATGGCTCAGAGCTAATGAGACTTTGGCCGGGGGTCGATATAGCCAACTTGGCAGTTCAGGGGTTAAAACAAGTCCACTAATGCATAACTCTAATCAAGACTCCTGCGAACCTGTCACTGGAAAGCAGATTAATGCTTCACCTAGTGAGACCAGAAATTGTGATCATTCTGAACAACAGCAGGAGAATCCAAATCAGTTTAAAAGCCTAAGTATTGTGGGTGAGGATCAGATGAATATGGTTATTGCCAGAAGTGTAGAGGAGCCAGCAGGGCACAAAGAAGATCACCAAACTTTTAGTTGTTTTATGGACACAAAAGTACCAGTTTTAGGGATTGAGAGCCCAGTACAGGCAATAGTCAAAGGGCAGGAGAGAAAAGCTACTAAATCGAGGCAAGTGTCACAGTGGAAAAGAAGAGCTACTTCTGATGGGAGACTGCTGAGAATTAATGAAACCTACAGAGAAAGTATTCCTACTAGTGATCTTATAAGAAGTAGAGAGCTTGTTATCTATGAAAGAGGGGAGGAGGATGTTGAACAGGCTCTAATTGATAAAAAGAAAAAGAGTAAATCTGAGAAGTCAAAGGTGGAGAAAAGGCCAGCCTCAATTGGCCCCGAAGTGACCAATGAAGGCCATGGTGTGGAATTATAGAGGGCTGGGTGGGCTCTCTACAGTTTCCCAAATCAAGGATTCCAGAAGAATCCACCACCCAAATGTTATTTTTTTGTCTGAAATTAAAAAATCCAAACATTTTACACAAACAGTTTGTAGGAAGTTGGGATTTAAGGAGAGGTGGCACTTAGAGAAACCTGTGGGGATTGAAGGAGGTCTGTTAGTTATGTGGGACATAGAAACTGAAGTAAAGCAGATCGTGGGCAATGACTTCTGTATTCAAATGGAGGTGAGAGGTGCAGGAATGACTGAATGGTGTTGGCTGATCTTCATTTATCTTAGCACAGACAGGAGGAGTAGAGAGCAACAATGGGCTTTTTTGGAGAATAATAGAAGGCTATGGGGTGATTGTTGGCTGGTGGCTAAAGACTGGAATGACATCTCTTCCAATGATGAGAAAATGGGAGGTATGAGAAGAAGCCTAGCCAGTTTTGTGGGGTTTAATGAATTCATTGGAAGGATGCAAATGCAAAAGGCAAGCCAGAAGGGTCTTTTTTTACTTGGGAGAATAATAGGGGAAGAGAGACTTGATAAAGTTTTTGCTTCTTTGGGTTGGTGGAACAGGTTCCTTACCATGGAAGTCTCCAATTTTTTTAGAGCAGCATCTGACCACAATGTTATTCTGATTGATACTGAGAAGGATCTGAGTAAAAAACACAAAAGATTCCAGCTTGATGCCAGTTGGTTAGAGATAGAAGGAATTGAAGAGGCAGTGAAAGAGGGGTGGCAGGGACTTGTGGAGGGCACAACTATGTACCAAGTACATCAGAAAATCAAGAACACTAGGATGGCTTTACTTGCTTGGCATAAACCGATACATAGAAATAATGCTGAAACCATTCAAAGGCTAACAACTCAGTTGGAGGACATGAGAAGAGAAGGGGGTGACAGAGATTGGGGTATGTGGGGAACATTAAAATCTGAGTTAGATTGTGCCCATCAGGCTGAGGAACAGTACTGGAGACTGAAGTTTAAAGCCCTGTGGCTCAGGGGTGATGATAGAAACACTCGATATTTCCATGCTTTCACCACTCAGAGAAGAAGGGCTAATACCATCTCAAAATTGATTACCAACGTTGGAGTTACTTGTGATTCTCAGGCTATCATGGCAGATCATATTTCTGGTTTTTACTCCACTTTGTTCACATCTGAAGGGTCCAGAGGAGGTGGTGAACTCCTTCAACACATTCCCCATTCTATTTCTGATGCTATGAACAGTGAGCTGATCAAACCAATTCAGGAGGAAGAAATAAAAGAAGCTCTCTTTAGCATGGCCCCTGATAAAGCTCCAGGAGCTGATGGTATGTCTGCATCATTTTTCCAAAACTTTTGGCATATCTTGAAGCTTGATATTTGTATTGCTGTGAAGAGTTTCTTTCATTCTGGCCACTTAATAAAAAATTGGAAGCACACTATCATTACTCTTATTCCCAAGTGCTTATATCCAGAAACCCTATCACATTTCAGACCCATTAGTCTATGTAGTGTGTTGTACAAACTCATTGCTAAGCTATTGGCTAAGAGGATTAAACCATATTTAGATGCTTGTATCAGTCAATCTAAGACTGCTTTTGTCCCTGGAAGATACTTACTTGATAATGTGGTCATTGCTCATGAGGTGTTCCATTTTTTGCATAGACATAGAACAAGACCTAATGTATTTATGGCTGTAAAATTGGACATGGAGAAGGCTTATGACAGGGTGGAGTGGGAGAGTATTAGACACACTATGATTAAGATGGGATTTCATGCTAAATTTGTTCAGTGGGTTTACAGTTGCATATCTTTTCCTACTTTCTCCTTCAACCTGAATGGCTCTGTTTGTGGTTATGTGACTTCTTCAAGGGGTATTAGACAGGGTGACCCACTGTCACCCTATCTATTTATTCTGGTTTCTGAGATATTTTCTGCTTATATCCAATTCAAAATTAATTCAAACCAGTTCAAGGGGATTAAGGTGTCTCAGAATAGCCCTATGGTGTCACATTTACTGTTTGCTGATGATGCCTTGGTGTTTTGTAAGGCTGATGAGAGTCATGTGTCTATCTTGCTGGATATTGTGCATAAATACCAAGTATTCACTGGTCAGACGGTTAACTTGCATAAGTCTTCTATGTTTCTGAGCAAAAATTGTCCTGGGGTGCTTAAAGATAGAATTTGTGCTATGATGCAAGGCATTGTTGTTTAAAGATCTTCCAAGTATCTTGGACTCCCCCTTGGGATTGGAGAATCTAAAGTGGATACATTTCAATTTGTAGTGGAGGCTGTGAGGGATAGAATTGGCAGTTGGAAAAACAATTTTTTGTCCACAGCTGGGAAGGAAATTCTTGTTAAAGTTGTTCTTCATGCTCTTCCAGTATTTATTATGCCTTGTTTTATTTTGCCTGACAAGCCGTGTCATGAAGTGTGCAGGGTGATAGCTAAATTTTGGTGGCCAAGGGTGATGTTCAGACTAAAGGCATGCACTGGCTAGCTTGGGATAAACTGGCTATTCCAAAGGGGGATGGAGGTTTGGGCTTCCAAGATATTAGGCTGTTTAACAGAGCATTAATCCTAAAGCAATTGTGGAGAATCACTGAGCAACCTGACCTGTTGATGAGTAGAGTACTGAGAGGTAAGTACTTCCCTCGATGCTCCATATTTGACTGGAAGAAAACTAGTGGAGCTTCTTGGCTGTGGAATTCTTGGGCCACACTGCTACCTGATTTGCAGAAACAGGTTAAGGTCATCATTAAAAATGGAGAAAATACCAAAATCAGTGATGGGAATTGGGTACCTGGGTTGAGAAAATGGACTCCTACTCTGAGGACTGAAATAAATGGTAACATGTTTCTGGTCCAAGATCTTCTCATTGCCGGGGGAGTGCACTGGGATGCTAACCTTGTCAAAGCACTGTTTGAAGAGAAAGATGCAGCTCTTATTTTGCAGATTAAATCACTTAATCCAAATGCTCCTGATCAGTGGAAGTGTGAGTTCCAGTGTAAGGAGAAATTATCAGTTAAGAAGGCCTATACTTGGCTTTTAGCAACCAAAGTATCTGAGAGGGCTGTGGGTGAATGCAGCAGAATGGCTGAGAGGAATGTAAGAGCTAGGAGAATGTGCTGGGATCTGGGAGTTATGGGAAAGGTTAAACATTTCATTTGGAAATGTTTTACCAATATCTTACTTGTTAATTGCAACTTGGCCAGAAGAGGTATAGAGGTTGATATTGTCTGCAGAGTTTGTGGGGAGGATGAGGAGACCATGGAACATACTTTTTTCCTGTGCAGGAGGGCAAGGATCACTTGGCAGCTTGCACCAGTGGACTGGGACAGAAATAAGATGGACAGCATGAGCTTTAAAGAGTGGTGGTGGTGGATCTCTACAATGAACTTCAAAGACACTTCTGAAGATATAATCCAACTATCCACTTACATTTTGTGGTGGTTTTGGCGAGCTCGAAACTTATGGGTGTTTGAGAAGCAGTGGCACAAAGAGATGTGGATAGTCCAGACTGCAACTAGGGATTGGATGGACTTCAAAGCTAGCAGCCTCAAGGAGTAACAGAGAGCCAGATGAATAGGTTAGGTCCAGTGTCAGTGGCCTATTGGTTTGTCTTTGTCTGTGATGATTTGAATTGTTTCATGCCAAGTTTTATTAGCCATTGTGTTTCTGGGTATAGGTTTGGGGACAGACTGAACTTGGTTAGTTTAGTTTCTTGTGTCCATTGTTGGTGTAGGTGATGGTTATGTGTTTGTATGTTCGATTAGGAAGCTATGATAGCTCTCCTCTCAGTTACCCAGGCTTCGGGGATTATATTCCCCGTGTACAATTGTTTTTATTTTGGTTATTTATGAGATTTGCTATCGTTGGAAAAAAAAGGTTTAATATAATCTCACCTTAAAACCTTCTAATGGATTACATAAACACCTACTTCAATTAATCTTGGTGGCGCGATTAATTGAATCTCCCTAACTCTCGAACAAGACAATTTTTCTCTCTTTGAAAGATGGATAAAATGAGTCTCACATGTGTGTCTCAAGAGGTTGGGACATGGTGTATTTATAGGCACCATTAGGGACCTTAAGGAGGTGCCAAATATGGGCTTATCCTATTAGGCCAAGGAATCCTAATTCTACTCCACACGCTAATCCATATTAGGTCATGATTCCTTCTCCTAACATCACCTTCTAGAAGACTCTCTAGTCTCCTAACCCTAGGTAATATTATAGAAGGAATATTCCCTAAGTTGTCACACCCCGCCTTACTACTAGCTTTGAAAATCAGAGTAAAATTTTTTGTTTTTATTTTCGAAAGAACGTGCGAGCTGGGTTTTCGAAAATACTGACTTATTGCGGGATGTGGCAGATAAAAACTTAAACTGAAACTTGGGCTTGCCCACAGACATAACAAAACATGCAACCAAACTGTCCGCTCGCGGATTATGGAATTATACATGCATAGTCTGTACTGTCTCGCACTGTCTAGAAAACTCGCTGGCGGAAGCATCCGAAATACGAATACATAACATGCGTACATAAACTGAATAAAATACACATGATCATAAATTTAGGACATAAAAATGCTGGTAAA